ACCTACAGCTTAACACCTTCTTTGCCATAACACTGTGCAACTTTTTCTTGGGCTAATAATTATATTAACTGCCTTCCCCAGAAAGCATCTTGCAGTTGTTTGGTTTCAGGCTCCCTCTTTGTAAAAGACATAAAAAACCACCACAGAGCTGCAGAACTGCTGCAGGTATGAGACCTCTAGCTCTGTGGTATGCAGTTCCCTGCTGGAGAGGCTTTTTTGCTGACCTGTGGAGTGTGGATGCATTTGACAGCAGGCGATACAGAATGGAAACTCTGGAATGGCAAAACTTCATTATCTGTGCTTGGCCTTGCATTCCTTGGAAGAAACCATATCAGTGACCAGTCTCTTGTTCACTGCAAACAATTAAAAAAATTCAGAAGTGCTGGAAAGGGTATTTAGAGGTCACTCGGCCACTTCATCCATCTCCAAAGGAAAACCAACATTGATGGTTTAAGCTGGAGCGAAGGCTGTATGGTAGATATCACACTTAGAACTGCAACATCTCTTTCAGGTTAACTTCTGATTCTTACTATGAACAATGACCCTATATCCCCAGTCGTCGTTTTGAAGAGTTAGATTCTAGTCCTCCTTTCACTTACTGCCTTGTTCTTGAGACCATCTGTACATTGTCTCAGCATCATTAAACCACCAGCAAGCAGGTATCAGCTTGATCTCAGTCTCTGGACATCAATTTGTGAAGAAGAGAGGGTTCATATGGAAAGATTTTCTGCAGGTGAGGGATTACTGAAACAACTAGTGAGTGCTACTTAAGAATGGTGTCATATTTTTCAGGATTTTCCCGTTTGGTCCCCATGTATTGCCTGATCTAGTCGACAGGTGGCGTCCCTGGCAGCCGGGAGGCTGGATTAAAATGATCTCTAAGGTCCCTTCCAGCTTAGGCCATTCTATGATTCTGTGATTCCCTCACAACTCCTTAGAATATATGCTGGGAAGCCAGAAACTCTTGGACTTATCTTAACCAAACACATTTCATATGCTTTTATAAGTAGATTTGTGGTTTTTTTCTGAAGCACATATTGGGAAAGGTCAGATATCTGGGCAGCCATATGAACCACTGTAGTACTAAAGCTATATCTTTCAGTTTTCCACATACAGGCATACGTTCAGCTGCTGCAGGTATGGATGTGAAGTTGAAGTATCTCCGGGTCAGCTGGCTTCTGCCTAAACACTTGGGAAAGCAAACATAACCTTATTTGACTAACTTTACAATTACGAATTATGAACAATAATGAATTGGATACCTAGAACACAAGATGAATTTTTAATTGGGTGGTATAGTATGGCTGCTGCTAGCAACAGGATAAGAACTTATCCTTCTGATCCTGTTTAGCTGGTCTTTCCTATGCCCATCACAAGCTATCTTTTTCCCTTTCACCTTGAGTACCAAAAGCTCCTGGAAGATGCTGTCATCCAAAATGGTAGTAGCCAAGAAATGACGCTGGTCATTATGGGAAGACTGGAGTGATACTTCCTAATCATGTCCTATTTCAACAGTGAGACACACGGTACAGAGATAGTATTTTTTTATGTCTGCATACTTTGTAGCAATTTTAATTGCTGTTTTAGAAACCAACTCAGCTGGGAAGATGTAGACGCCTCGGTGTTCGCATTGGTGCTATTCATTTTTCGTTCTGTGCCGTAATACAATGTCTTCAGTTGTTTCCTTACCTGAATCATCAAGATAAAGCATTTTCATGTGTCTATCGGGCTTACAGCCTCCTGGGGCCTGTGGGCTCAGGCTCTATAGGACGCACAGCTGTGGCTGATATGAGGATTTGCAGAGCTAGTGTAAGGCAACACTGCGAGAGTCAGAAGCGGCCCCTCTTTAACTCCACCACATTGCACTTTGATTACTCAAAGCGTTTCTCTACCTCACTGCGTGCAACAGCTTTTGCTGTGGTACAATAGAAACAGCAGAGCCCCAGCAAGCTGTGTGGATCTAAGGGGCCAGCTGGTTCTGCACTCCCTCACTTGGCTTTATCAGTGGAAATTCCTTCCTCGCTGATCGAATGACCGACGGAAAATAATCTCTTTTTAAAACAGTTCACATTTCTTTGGATTCAGTTTCAAATTGGCATTCTTAAGCTTATCGCAGACCATTTGTAAATGCACTAGTTCCTGACCGAAAGATTTAGCATGTACCAGATTTGTTATCCGTCTAGGACAAACAATCTGAAAGAGGCACATGCCATACAGTACATTCTCCATGAGCCATTTAAAGGTAGCGAGAGCACTGCGTAATCTAGAGAACATTATTTAAAATTGACAGAACCTCTACCCTACCATAAAATAGCCTTCTTCTAGGGCTTTCAGATTTACTTCCATATTCATCTACCCACTTAAGATCAGTGTAGAAATCCAGCTAACCTTTCTGTAACATCAGAAGTATTCAAGTATTAGTCAAATATCTCTCTGATCCAGCGTGGCTCAGGCACAAAAGCTGCACGTGGTCTCATCTTCCTGAACAGAGTAAGAATCAAATGACAGGCAGCAATTTCTTGGTTCCCTATTTAAATCCCCTTCTCTCCTCTGTTCACTCACAGTCATGAGCCCAGTAGTTGTTCAGGCTTGTCCTTGGCTTCCTGCTTGTTCTTTGCCTCAGTGGTATTTTTTTTGTTTCTCTCTGACTGATCTTTTTTGCTTTTTCTAGTATGGCAATACACAGTGCTACCAATATGTGCCTTATCTTGAACAGTGGTATGTTTTTATGATTTGAATGAAGGCTGCTTTTGCTGTAGCTTTCCAGCACCACAGAAAATTTTCATTACTTGTTACATTTTCTTTGATGAAATTCTATCACTGTAGCTGACAATGTTGGCCATCCTGATCAATGGGAGTAGGAGCTACATCTAACAAAGGAGAGAAATCTCTTAAAGAAACTACTTTTATCTTTTCTCTTTCCCATAGTACTCATACTTTTCCATCTACAGCAAATTGTGGCAGAGTAGTTAATCAGTTCTTTCTGCAAATTTCATTAAATGAGCTCTGAAACAGAAGACAACTGAGCTCTGTGCTTCAACACCTTCATATCGGTTTTGCATTGTTGCACATCATGGCCAGCTGGAGTTAACTGGCATTGCACAGGAAACTTCTCTGCGCTCATAATTCTGTTGTGCAACACACTGCTAGTATTACAAGTTGATACTACCAAACCAGTTTGTGACCTTGAAAGAGAGCTGTTGTTTGGCTTCTGCTCCTTCAACTCTCTCATTGAAACTACAATCATGAAGGTGAGTTGCTAGCTGTCCTCCTGAGCAGGCAGCTGCCCAAGGACAGCCTGCTCCCTGTGTGCTGAGCTGCTTGTAGTTTGGGTGTGGGCAGCTGCTTCACTTTCACTGCCCTCTGTGTGTCATCTGAGCAAGAAGAAGAACTGGAAGAAATTGCCTGGCCCTTTGCCACCTCTTTACCTTAAAAAGCAGCTGGGATCTGTAGCAAGTTGTAAACACTGTTACTCAAAATCCTGTCATGTTTTGTTTGCGGGAGGCAAATGACTGACATTTCCCTTTGACAGAACAACTGACTTGGTCACCAGATTTGTCTGGGCTTGTCGCAGCTATTTGGGTATCTAGGGAGAGGCCCAAAACAGTCCTAGCCCTGACTCTCATTGGGGAGAGGCGTAAAGGGTTTCTGTCTGGAACTATACAAGATTCTCTGGAGCTCTCTGTGCTGTAGCAAGGACCAGAGGCAGGCAGAGCCTGTACTCCAGGATTTCTCTATGTTAGAGCCATTTCCTCAATGTCTGTAACTTTCCCTTTGAATAGCATTGCAGGATGAAAGGAGGAGAAGTGCTTTTCCATGCTTCTGTCATTCCATCCCGACTGCTGTGCCTTATGCCTCCCAGGGCTACCTGCTATGAGGTGCTCTGTGGTCCTGTTCTCAAGGCATCTGGACAGGGACTGGATCTAGATGGTTCCCTTCTGCTGCACCTTTCTGCTCAGGAGACCAGGGAGAAGGTGAGGAAGATGGGGTGGCTGCCTGTAAGGGTGTCAGGACACAGCACATGGAAACCTGGGAACTCCCAGGCACGCCAGCTCCCAGACTGGGAGGGGCAGGCAGAGCAGTCCTGCTGCCATCTCCAGCATTGTAGTGACAGAGACACTTGGGACCGAGAGTTGTTTCTTTGCGGCCTCTACTTCTGCAGCAGAATGAACTGCAGCAGTGAGACTCATCTGCTCCCTCTGCCTGAATCTGCCTCTTTTTTTTTTTCATTTTCTGAGAGGAGACAGCAGTTTTTTCAAAGGTCACTGAAAATACATGTATGGCATAGCTGAGCTGTATAACAGCTGCTTTTCTACATGCCAGGCAGTTTTGCCACTTTATTAGGAAGAGACAAAGGTTTCCAGGTAGATTTTTTAAATTTTATTTTTCCCTAAGAAAAGAGACAGTAAATATGTCTTGTTTACAGTAGCGGCTGCCAAAAGTTCTTTTGAGAAGATTTAGAAATAAGACAAAAAAAAACCCCAAAATGACCCGCAGCTCAGCCTACAGAACCCCATTTAATAACATTGTAAAAGGAGCTGATAATATTGATCCCTTGTGTACTGGTAGTTAAACTTCAGAAACCAATGGAGAAGGAGGCTTAACTCGTGCTTCCATAGTATCAGAATGCAAAGATAAATCCCAAATGTAGAATTTTTACAGCTATAAATACAGAGGATGATTTTCAGACAATGTTAAAATTACTGCTTAATTCCCTTTCCTTCAAGGGAAAGGTCCTGTGGGGTGTGCTTGGAAAGGAATCCCTGAGTGTACGAGACACACTTCTGTGAGAACCAGGAAGTAGCTTCTCAGTGGTATGCGGAAAGACTGAGACCAGCTTGATCAGTGATGTTCCCAGTTCTGCCATCACTTCTGCTTGAGTAACTTTAAATATTTGTTTGTTCAAACAAATTAATCTCTCAAAATATAAAGCTATTCCTGCACACAAGTGCTGGCAGGATCTGGGATCGGCAACTACACAAATATTGCTTTGGCAGTGGTGTTTTTAGAAAAAACGTTAAGCCTTGGTCCTCTAAGGTACCCCGGTGAGAAATCCACATCACTAAATATCTCTGAGGATCCGAGTGCCCAGAAGGAGCGACTGGTATTTTTAACAAAGTAAGACTTTAAGGGCTTAACTGTGATTCTAGCCATGTTCGTATTTCCTCCTTGTTTACTTTTAGCCATTCGATGTTGTTCTTCACCTGCTCAATTGACTGACTCCTGGGCGATTCTCCGGCCCCAGCATTAGGATATTTCTCAAAGAAATTTTCCATCTGGAAAAGAGAGAGAAAAAGAATTGTTATTAAGTAAATAATGCTGCTAAGTGTTTTTTTTAGGGTGACCTGGTCAAGGAAAATTTGGCTGGGAGAGATATTTAAGCTCAGGATAGTAGCACTGGGGTAATTTTACGGTAGCTCATACTACTTTACACATTTACAGGATAAAAAGTTGAGTTTCCTAGCCAGCAGACTGTTATATATATTGACTTAAACCCAAGAGAAGTGCTGTCACCATACCTGCCAAAGCTGAAGCTCTGTGTTGAAGGTTTGGCTAATAGTTACTATTCGACCAAGGTTTCTGTCATTGATGGTGAATCTAGAAAACCAATTTAATAAAGAGTGTTTGAATCAAAACCATTGAAAAAGAAAAGGGAGAAGCAACTATCTGAAGCTTAAACTTCTAAGTGTGCTACAATGAAACAGGCATTCGGATTTCAGCATTTGGGAAATACTTGAAAAATTAAACAATATCTGTGCTGTTCATATTTACTAATGGAGTCATCTCTTCTGGGTTTTTTTGGTTTTTTTTGTCTGCTTTTGTTTTTTTTTAATTAATGACATTGTCTCATGCTGGAAATTAGGTCTATCACTGCTCAGCAAAATAAATGCTCTAGGCTTGCATTTATGCTTTGCCTCTGTGCCTTCACCAAGTGCTTTGAAAGAAGAAGGAAGGAGAGGAAGGTCACTCAAATAGGGAGGAGCAAAGCTTAAAAGGTTTGCTATTACTTCCACTGCTCACCTTACATCCACTGCTTGCTGTTACCACTAGAAGGAATTAAAAAAAAAAAAGCTATACACTCTCTTCTTGCTATGAAATCAATAGAAAGAATGACTGACTCATTTCCATGCAATAACCAGATTTCTTTGGCTTTGGTATGACTTTCTATGATCATTTAGGGAAAGAATGGTTTTCAAGTTAGCAGCAAAGTACTTTTTCACAGCAGATGGATATAATTGTGTTGAATACACTTTCAGTTTTCATTACCAAAGGCCAGTGATTAGAGCTGTGTAGTGAAAACATGGAAGAGTGTGGCATATAAGAAGATACGCAGGTGGATGTAGACATAAGGTTTCCAATGAGTTCATGAGCATACCTGTCAACTAAGTACTCCCAGTTAAGTCGTATCCAGTCCCAGGCCATTGTTTTCCCATAGGTGTTATACGAGATGTATCTCAGGACTGTGAACACATCTTGGCTTTTGATGAGGCTGGTGTTGTAAATGTATTTCAGATACCTAAGGGAAATGCCATAAGAATCAATGAGAGCCTTTCAGAAAAAAACACAGGAAGCAAATAACAAGTTAACACTTTCAGTGAAGACTTAACTGATAATGACGAGAAATGATCCAATGCTAATGTCTCAAGTATTTGACATCACACTCAACAGCCCATTTCCAAGCCGGAAAATTATTTTTTACTACGGCATTTTAAAGGTGAAGTATACTGATCTAAAACATAAGTATCTGCTGGTAACTGTGTAGAGATAATTGTATTAAAAGAAATCTAAACAGGCATCTCTTAGTAAGTAGTGTTTATGTCTCTAAGTTACTTGAAAATAGCCCAAACCCATTATTATTCCTATATTTTAATCAAGTAGTTAAAAAAAAGATTGCATCAGTCAGTAGTCCAGCCTGGTCAGGTAGCCAAGGGACAAAAAAGTAGTTGTCTGTGCTATAAAGTTTTATAGGGACCATGAGGACACACACAGGTGGCTTTCTCACACTGGGATCTACACTGTGTGTTCTGAAACTCTTATTCATATGAAATAACAATTGTTTTGGGCATAATATGCCTGCAAATGCTGCAGTTATACTTCCAGTTACAGCACAAATGGTTTTGACTGACAAAGTGAAGGAATCCCTCAGCTCACATATTTGCAGGGAGATGAGTAGAGTGGTCGTGGCTTCACAACAGCAGCTGCAGAGGAAGTCTCTTAAGGTGCTGTGTGCTAGGATTAAGGATTGTCTTCTTTTTTCCTGTACATAAGGGACAATTTTCTCAACCTTTGCTCTTTTCTCCTTCTTTGTTATTTTAATAGTAAATTAAGAGACAAACTCTCCTTGCTTTAAGAGGGATTTTTTATTTTGTGCTAATATAGGCTGATCTAGCTCATTAATTCATGTCTTAATCGTGTTAGTGATTAGTTACTGAATGGCTTTAGATTATGGCTGTTGTGGTCACAAGTGTTTAGGAACACAGCTGCCTCCTACCCCTATTTTATTTCCTCTAACTCTTATATTTACTCTTTCTGAACCTCCTATACTTCCTTGTTTCATCGTGTTTAAATTTGGAACTCTTCCAGGTAGAGACTGCTCCATCTCATGACATTTAGATAGGGCTCCAACAAAGTGGTGGGCGGCCCCGGTGAAGATGTTTGCCTGCATCTCCTCTACATCATACAGCTATATGCAAAGTTATCAGACAAGGCCAAGGGAGCTGGTGTGTCTCCGCAGAGTGGCAATCTGGGGAGATGCTTGATCAGTCTGACAGTCGGACCTGCCTGGGGCAGTATCCAGACTCCTCATTAATGCCACGGCAGCACGAGCACATACATCCTCTGGTTCCAGCTGAAGTACCTCTGTGCAGCACTTTAGGGAGCGCTGTGACTTCCCAGGGATGCCTTCATAGGCCTGTTAGTAACAATTGCCCAAGGTTTTCCTAGTGTTGACTCCTTGGAAGGTAGACATCTAGTCTAGGCAAACTCCCTCTGTAGCCAATGGAGAGTGACTGGTAACCCCCAGAAGTTATTCTTCCCATACATTTTAAGTCCCTTTCCTAGTCTGGGATAAACGGTGCTCTGGTGGTCCTGCCTTCCTTCACTCATTATAGAGGAAATATAGGTGACTAATTTTCTCCCAATGCTTAACTATCAGGCACCTAAAATTACACAGGGTAAAGGCACTGTTGGAAGAACTGAAGGCTGTTGATTGTGTGCAGAAACTATCATGTGTTCAATATCTTTCCACTAAAGGAGCAAGGCTTTTTTTCTGCTACAGTACAATCTCAGAGGGGGGTGTTAGATAACTGGTCTTGAAAATGTGTTGCATTCCTCATGCTGCAATCTGACAAAAACGACAGCACGGGAGAGAAGAGAGAGGAATGAGCAGACGGTGACCAGTTGCTTCTGTAGGGGAAGAAAAATCTTTGTGTATTTAAATCACCTGTCCAAAAGGGTGATGTTATTCACGGATGCCAGGCCATACAGCAGCTTGTCTTTTTCCTGTGCTAGTGAAGTTTCTTGATATTTCCTGAACATTTGATTCCATGATGTCTCATTGCCTGAGTTCTGCATCCCATAGCGATATACCAGGAGTCGGAGATTTGAAGGAATGCTAAAATAAAGAAACAGTACTTGAATATTCCTCCCCCTTTCCTGCTTGAGATCCATCACCAAGTCACCTGTGATGTTCTTCACCAGCCACAAAAGCTGTGAGCACTCACGTATTTCCTTGTAGCCACTGATTGAATAGGTCAGAAGCGTTGTTCAAAGATGCTGCATCATCCATACTGCAAGCAAAGTCTAGAACAGAGGCACGAAGAAGCCTTTAAAAGAGAGAGAGAGAGAGAAAGAGATTTTCCTACTGCTTAGCATTCTTTGAATCCATCAATAGTATGAGAAATACAAAAAGAAAATGGTTGTTCAACCTCTGCAAATGGTCTCCAGTATCATTCCAGAGCAGTTGATCCACAATGGGTTTTACCAGGTTGCGAAAATATTCCTGAGGTAGGAAAAGGGGATTGGTTACTTGTGTAGATTTCTTTAAATAACAATATATTTGCTTCTACAGTTTATTCCCCTTAATTTTTCCCATAACTAGCACCTCTTAAACAAAAAGTACCACAAACATGTGCAATCTTTCCAGATCATCGCAGCGTGCCAGGTCGGAATGCTTGCAGTACTGATGCACAGATAGGACAAAGGCAACCTGTTTATCTCCAGCCTTGTCTGTGCTCCAGAATGAAGGTTGGGATATAGTGAGGACATACTGCCACAGCTGTTTTCCAGACATAATGCCGAGTTCAGGAAATACTTATTTTACTGTCCATTAAATCATGTTCAGCACGTTAGGTCAATTAACAAGCTTGCTCACTGCCACATTGAGATATAGCCATCCTTCGTGCTGAGGACAGGCATCAGAGATTTTGCTGCCCTATAAATGTTTCTCTACTGCATGCAGGGCAGCCTCGGCTAACAAATGTCTGTACTGTGACTTATGGTGATGGATTGTAAGAAAAATTAGGCATAATTTCTTTCCTCCAAGTGCATAACCCTGAACTGAGAGTTTAGGTAATTCAAAGATCAGTACTAAGCAGTTTTTATCACTTTTTAAATAAAGTACAGTAACAAAAAGTGAATATTGATAACTCAGTAACATTTAAAATCACTTGAGCTTCACTATCATTGCTTTTACAGATCCCGAACTGTTATATCCAGTGATCCCATGCAGGAGTGGTTTTTTTTGCTTCATCACCTGAAACCGGGGATAGAGATTTGTATCATCTTTAAGCATGTCGGAGAGGTAAGTTACAGATGATATAACTCTATGCCAGGGTAAATACTCTGTTTCACTTGTTAGGTATTTTGTGAGCTGCAGGGGAACAGAGTAATTCACAAGTCCAGGTCTGTGGAAGGAGAAAACATAACTTCTGTTATTTGAATGAATTTGAGGAACTTGCTTCTTTAAAGATGTTAGAACACTATTTACTTTAGAAGGTCTGAAATAATGAATTTTGGGAAGGGGAAAATAGGCTGGAATGTAAATTAAGAGGTGTTTTCCAAAGAGACCACCAAGGATCACTGTTGATCGATGCTTAACTGCCGTGAGGAGGCTGTTCACATTGTGCAGTAGTCTGGTGTCCCCAGAAGTGGGTACCCCTCAACTGACTACATTGACTCCTGTCACATGAAAAGGAATTCCTACCTCTGGAGACATCTTGAAAGGCTGGGGAGGTTCAGGCTTAGAGGCTGTCACAGAAGGTCACCTAAAGTTTACGTGTGTGAGCGTGGCTGGCTACAAGAGCTAGAAGTATCCAAGCAAGTTTCTAAACAAGATGGCTGAGGTGGTAACTTCCTAATGCCATGCTGTGCATTGTAGACATGCCTCTGAGTTTTTGGATGCCTAACTTCTTCTTCTGGAGTGCTTCTATTATTGTCACTTACGTGACAAAATCACCGCTTTCTAAGTCCTCTTTTTCTGCCAGTGAACTGAAGGGAAGCATTTCTCTTGACTGCATTGGTATTGCAAGTTGCCAATACATACTTGAATTTGTCCCTTTTGGAAGACAGCATAAGGTGATAAAAAATTAAGACTTGTTTATAAACTCAGAATTTTTCTTTCAACCACTTGAGTTAATTCTAATTAAGAAGCAATGGAAAGGGAAAACCTTGTGTTGAGATCTTTGCAGGGAATTAGCTTACCTTGCTAAAGAAAAGGCATCATCCAAAATCCCTGCACGATCAGCAGCTGAAAAAATCTGTGTGAAAAGAGCAAACGAGTGATCAAGGATATATGGATTGTTTGCAGAAAAAAACAGCCTCTGCAGACCTTTATGCAAGACCCACCAGACAAGTTAATGTTATGACACTCACTTTGTGGTTGCTGACCAGAAGAGTGTTTATACTGGCCCAGTTTTGACTATCATAGTTCACCCGATAGAATCCAATGTGGTCTGGATTTATGTTCGTGAAGGAATTAGCAAGTGATGGTATTGTAATTCCTGAAAATAAAAAAAACAGTGAATGCTTTGTGCATCTTACATGACATGGAACTCACTGGAGGAACTCACTTTGACTCCAAAAGGAGTACTTAATTTTAAGGAATATCAAAATAAGGTTGTGAGTTCTCCTTCTCTGGAGACTTCAAAACCCACCTGGATGCGTTCCTGCATGGCCTGCCCTAAGTGAGCCTGCTCTGGTAGGGGGGTTGGACTAGAGGATCTCTGGAGGTCCCTTCCAACCCTGAACATTCTATGATTCTATGATTCTATCCAAACCTTAATTTTATTTATTTTTTAAAATAGCTATGAGTAAAGATGAGTTATTATAGACTTTAATGAATGACAGCACTTCTCTTTGAGTAGTGAATTGTGGTAATTACGTGGACCAGCTAGTTTGTTAAATTTAAGATGGAGATCTTTGTGATTAGGGTGAGGATAGTGGAAATTACTGTCATTCTAAAAGCAGAAAGTTGCAAAGAAACGGTTCTTGGAAACACCTATTTTAAAAGGTTTTGAATAGAATAGAATTAGAATAGAAATAGGATACAGTAGAGTGGAGAGTGGAGCGGAGTGGAGTGGAGTGGAATAGAATAGAATAGAATAGAATAGAATAGAACAGAACAGAACAGAACAGAACAGAACAGAACAGAACAGAACAGAATAGAATAGAATAGAATAGAATAGAATAGAATAGAATGAATCATTAAATTTGGAAAAGCCCTCTAAGATCCCAAAGTCCAACCAGCAACCCAACACCACCATGAACACTAAACCATGTCCTGAAGCACCATGTCTAGACGTTTTTTTGAGCACCTCCAGTGATAGTGCCTCCACCACTGCCCTGGGCAGCCTGTTCCAATGCTTCACCACTCTTTCAATAAAGAAATTTTTCCTAATATCTAATCTAAACCTCCTCTGGCAAACTTGAGGCCATTTCTTCTTGTCCTATTGCTAGTAACTTGGGAGAAGAGACTAACACCCACCTCACTGCAGCCTCCTTTCAGGTAGTTGTAGAGAGGGATAAGGTCTCCCCTCAGCCTCCTTTCCTCCAGGCTGAACAACTCCCATTCCCTCAGCTATTCCTCATAAGACACAGTCTCCAGACCCCTCACCAGCTTTGTTGGCCTTCTTTGGACTCGCTTCAGCACCCCAATGTCTTGTACTGCAGCACCAAAAACTGAACACAGTACTCAAGATGCAGCCTCACCAGTGCCAAGTACAGGGGCATGATCCCTTCCCTGGTCCTTCTGGCCAGGCTGTTTCTGATCCAGGCCAGGATGCCATTGGCCTTCTTGACCACCTGGGCACACTGCTGGCTCATGTTGAGCCAGCTGTCCAACAGCATCTTCAGGTCCTTTTCTGCCCGGCACCTTTCCAGCCACTCCTCCCCAAGCCTGTAACGTTGCCTGGGGTTGTTGTGACCCAGGTGCAGGACTCGACACTTGGCCTTGTTGAACTTCCTACAACTGACCTTGGCCCATCAATCCGGCTTGTTCAGATCCCTCTGTAGAGCCCTCCTGCCCTCAAGCAGATCAACGTTCCTGCTCAGTTTGGTGTCATCTGGAAACTTACTGAGAGCGCTCTCAATCCCCTTATACAGAATGTTGATAGAGATATTAAAAAGAGCTGGCCCCAATACTGAGCCCTGGGGAGCACCACTTGTGATGAGCCAACAACTGGATTTAACTCCATTCACCACAACTCTCTGGGCTTGGCCATGCAGCTAGTTTTTAACTCAGCGAAGAGGACACCTGTCTAAGCCATGAACCGACACCTTCTCTAGCAGAATGTTGTGGGAGACCGTACAAAGACTTTACTAAAGTCCAGGTAGACAACATCCACAGTCTTTCCCTCATCCACTAGGTGGGTCACTTGGTCATAGAAGATCAGGTTGCTCAAGTAGGCTATTAGTTTTAAATTTCTTGTATTTTATCCTCCATTAATTTAATTTTTCAGGGTTTTGGTTTTGTTTTTTTTTTTTTAATAGCATGGCCTAGGCTGGAAGGGACCTTAGCGATCATTTTAATCCAGCCTCCCTGTGGCCAGGGACGCCACCTCTTGACTAGATCAGGCAACACATGGGGACTGAACAGGAATCGAACTCGCGACATTGAAGTTGTTAGCGCCACACTCAACTGACTGAGCTAACCAGCCCCCTATTTCAACTAACTTTTTAAGGGTTTTCTTTCCTGTGCTCTTCTCTGATTCCATTTTTAGATCTATGGATAGAGGTATTACAAAGTAGGCTGAGACTTTATTTAAGCACTCATGTTAAGGAATTTCCCATTGAATTAAATCCTTGAAAAATGTTCCTTTCTCAGAAGCTCAACCTGGTCCAGTTGGTACTGCAAGTTATGAAAGTCTTTCTATTGCCCATTGAAAGCAACAGTCTTCAGTCTGTGGTTTGAGAGTGGCTGGAGTTAAAAGTATTTTTCTGTTTATATAACCCCCACAAAATATTTCAAAAGGCATTTTTTTTCTTATAGTTGCTCCTTGTCCTATTAGCCAAAATTTTTGTGTGTGTAGAAGTAAGCACCTAATCATAGCTTTGCAGGCTTTGTCAAGTTAATAGCCCCTTGCAGTCCACTGTAATGGCATGTGGAAGTTAAAGAAGGAAGATTTCTTTGTGTTAACCTATGACTTGTATCATGACTTAAGTTTTTTTTGTTTGCTTTTGCATGGATACTAAAAGCACGCAAGTTTAAAAAAGAATAAAAGAAAAATTAAATTTTAAACAGGTAACATGCAAACAAGCACAAGAAGAGAAGAGCTCATCATGATATTTCTGAAATTACAAATGTAATGAAATTTTAAAAGTCAGAAAGTATTTTTTTCTTTTTTTCCACTTATTTTTCCCTGTTTTTTTCACTAGAGTTGTAGAATGAGAAATTCAGATTTGACTGCAGAATAGAACAATCATCAAAAATACCTATGCAGGTATTTCCTCATTCCTGAAATCAGCATTAGAAAAATTGTCTCATCCTTTGTAGTTTTTTTCTTTAACTGAACTCAGAGTGCCAGTTTACCATGCCACAGATGCATTCATCAGCCTCCCACTTCATCTCTTTTCTTAGACTTGAAAAAGGGCATATCTAAGTCCCATTGGTATTAGTACATCATAATTAGGAGCATGCTTAAATGCTTCCTTCAATAGGACTGGATTTAAACACATGCTTAAGCACTTAATTGACTTGAGCTTAAATTGACTTAATGTAAAGAGTCATCCTATTGCAGCAGTGACTACTAACTTCAGCACAAGCAAGCTGTGTGCTGGTTCCTGGATCTGAAAAGCATGAAAGTTAATTCTGTGTTTTATTTCTTGTTAAAGACATAGAAAATCTTTATCCATTCATCACTCTTAAAAGAGAAGGAGAAGTTTACCTGCAGATTCTGATGTGTTGTAGAAAGTATAATTTGTTGAATTCCCAAGTGTCCATTTCACTGGTATATTCCATTTGTAA